TAGATACCCAGTAGAGGTATTTCTGGGTCATATGGTAGCACTAGTCTTAATTTTTTAAGAAAACTCTATACTGTTTTCCATAGTGGCTGTATCAATTTACATTCCCTCCATCAGTGGATGAGGGTTCCTATTTCTCCGCATTCTCTCCAACATTTGTTATTACGTGTCCTGTTGATTATAGCTATTCTAACAGGTGTGAGATGGTATCTCATCGTGGTTTTGATTTACATTTCCTTAATAGCTAGCGATGTTAAGCATTTTTTCAAATATTTGTTGACCATTTGTATGTCCTCTAGGGAGAAGTGTCTGTTCAGGTTCTCTGCCCATTTTTTGATTGGATCATTTGTTTTTCATTGTTGTTATTGAGTTGTATGAATTCTTTTTATATTTTAGATATTAGGCTCTTATCAGGTGTTGCTTGCAAATATATTTTCCCATTCAGATGATTGTCTCTTTGTTGACAATTTCTTTTGCTGAGCAGCTTTTTAGTTTGATGTAGTCCCATTCATTTATTTTTGCTTTTACTTCTTTCGCCTTTGAGGTCAAATTCATAAAATCCTCTTTAAATCCAAGGTCTTTGACTTTAGTTCCTATGTTTTCTTCTATGCGTTTTATTGCTTCAGGTCTTATATTCTGGTCCTTGATCCATTTTGAATTAACTCTGGTGTGTGTTGATAGACAGCAGTCTAGTTTCATCTTTTGCAGGTGGCTTTCCAGTTTTCCCAGTGCCATTTATTGAAGAGGCTTTCCTTTCTCCATTGTATGTTTTTGGCTTTTTTGATGAAAATTATTTGCCCATATAAATATAAGTTTACTTCTAGACTCTCGATTCTGTTCCACTGGTTTGTGTGTCTGTTTTGCTGCCAATACCATGCCATTTTGATTACTGTCACTTTGTAGTATAATTGGAAGTCGGGCAGAGTAATGCATCCAGCCTCGTCCTTTTTTTTCTCAGGATGGCTTTGGCAATTCGGGATCTTTTGTGCTTCCATACAAATCTGATGATTTTTCAATCCATTTCTTAAAAAAATGTCGATCAGATTTTGATTGAGATTGCATTAAATCTGTATAATGCTTTAGATAATATGGTCATTTTAACTATGTTGATTTTTCTAATCCGAGAACATGGAATATCTTTCCATTTCTTTGTATCTTCTTCGATTTCTTTTAATAGGGTCTTGTAGTTTTCATTATATATGTCTCTCACATGTTTCTTAACAGAATATTTTAATTCCCAATGGAACAAGGTCTGCAAAAGGAATCACAGATACAAGTGTTACTTTAATAGTCAATGATTCTATTCTTTTTTTGTTCTCTTGGTTAAACCATCATCTCCAGGTACATTAAGCTAATCTGAAGCCACTTGGGTTACAGGGCCTATGATTTTTACAGAACTGTGGAGTGGGCCACATAGTCACACCATCTCTACCACTGAAGTCCCACCACTCACTAACCCTGATGGACCGTATATCCCTGTCTTTTGCCTGGTTAGATACATATTTCAAACATAGACTACTTATGATAAATATGACCTTAATTATTACATGGTACTGTCTGATGATAAACTAAATATAGTTAGATTAAGAAGATCAACTTTACGACTAATAGAGCAGTTGGAAAACATGGCCTGGGTATGGGGCGACAATGAACCTGCTGAGTGTACTTACCCATCAAGATTGCCCCATGGGGGTAGGAACCTTTTATTATGTGGCCAAACACAGAGCATAATTCTATAAGTAAAAGGATTAAAAAAATATATTAAGGAGAAAAGGGGACTGAACTGTAGTTTCACTTCTAAACTAAACAATTAGATGAGCCTCTGTACTTCCTCTGAGGAAGGGTGAGTGAAAGAGCTCAGATAAACCAAGAATGTCACTCCAATTGATATATTCTGCATGGAAATATAAAGCAACAGTAAAGGAGATTTCTTCTATCAACACGGGTAAGCCTTCAAGTCCAAGCACCAATGTCATTTTATGGGGAGGTTTTCTAAAAAATCATCCAGTAGAGTTTCTGTCAGCACTGTGCTCCAAGAGCAGCAATCTTTTTACACTTCTAGTACGTCTTATTTACAAATGACTTTCAGCTTCTTTGAGACAATTGATTTTATCTTTGTATTGCTGCTAAATAATGATTACCTTGTACAGAGGAGTTGTATGACAAATATTCATAGAATGGATAGATAAATAAATAATGGCAAATAACTCACAGGCCATTAGACAATCAAGGATACAGCTTTTGTTCCCCTTCTATCCCCCCTGCCCCATGATTAGATTATGTCCACATCGATACAAATTCAAAATCTAATCATTTAACAATTACTAGTCTAAGCTATGAAATGATGAATAGAAAAGAACATTTGTTTGTTTTCAAAGTGTCATTCTATACAACAGCTAATATTTTGGCACCTAGGAAGCAGAAGAAAGGGTAAGACACTTCAGAGTTTATACTAAACATTGTGTTTTACGTAGGTCCTGCCAAGCAATATTGCTATCCCTTATTGCAAACTCTCTGAGAAGCTGGGACTGCCTCCTATTCTGGTTTATGCAGACTGCGTCTTGGCAAACTGGAGGAAAAAGGATCCCCATGGGTATGTAAGCAGTGATTATAACAAAAATGAAAGGAGTGCATGTTATATTTAAATCAAAAGGGAGTTAGTCATTAGTTTAATTTTAGGCAGCAAAGCTTTCTTCTGTTTTGGGGATATGGTTTCTTTGGTGTATGTATTGTACAAATGTATTGCAAGTATATGAGAGAGAGGTGTATAATTAACACACAATGAAATGCACAAATCTTAAGTGTTCAGTTTGATGAGTCTATTATATGCACAAGTGTAGCCCTAAGCAAGACAGAGAATTTTTCTATAACTCAGAAATTTTTTATGTGACTATCCCCATTCAATTCTCCCCTCTATCCCTAGACAAATATATTCTGATTTATCATATTAAAAATCAGTTTTTTCTGTTTTTGAATTTCATGTCGATGAAATCATAGAACATGTATTCTTTGTATTTGGCTTCTTTTGATTAACATATTTCTGAGATTCTACTTTTAACTATCCAATTGGGTCTAAGAGTCAACACATCTTCAGCAGTATGGTCTGCTATGTATGGTCTTTTGGAGCAGTCTGCTCAGAATGTCGGCCTTTCCTGACCATTTAGTGATGGGATCTGCTACAATAAAGGGACAAGAGAATTGTAGTGCTCCGTGGCTCTGGGTGTGTATCTGCAGAAGAATATTCAGACATAAGAATAGCCCCAAATGAAAAGATTTCATCTAGAAAAAATTTTTGTTAGTTACAACCAGTTTTGACTATTCATGCATGGTCCTTGCAAATTTAATTTTTTATTTCACTTATAAAGTTTTAAGTTAAGTGTTTGCAATGACTACTTGAGAAATAAAAAAAACATTTTTCTTTTTTAACCAACTATGTCTTACTTTTAATAGTAGTATTAAATCTAATAACAATAGTTTATAAGCAATATTAAATTTAATAATAATAGTGGTATTAAATCTAATAACAATAACAAAACCGTGTTTAAATTGGTTTTCTTTGTCTCTTTCAATTGGTCCATTGCTTCATTGCTGCTTTCATAAGGCCCATGACTTATGAGTAAGTATTTTAATCTAAGAATTATTTGTTATTCAAAGTGAATATAAGTTTATAAGTATTCTTTAAATGCATTTATTAAAAGGCCAATTGAACTCAGGTAAAAAAATAATTCAGGTAATTAAAGAATAAATAATCCCAGTCCTTAATTATATTTATGACTGTGATATGACTGTCTGTTTGATATTATAGCTATAGATATATATGAAAATAATACTTGCATATATATAAATAAAATTAATATGTATAATTACAAAATGCACATACATTTGTGTATCTATGACTTAATTACCTCAGTGGCCAGAACATAAATCTGTTCTTTTTGACCCAGTCCTTACTATTTTTGATCTATGTAGTAAGTTGAGGCTAAATAAATATCATAGTTATAAGCATGCCGTGGTGAAACTGGACTCATGAGTAGGAAAAGATGTATATAAAAATTGTGCAAATTGCTATTTCATTGAGAGAAGGGGTAAGAAAATAAAGTACGGGAAGCTCCAATCAAATAAAAGGGAAGGCGGAGGAATCCCTGCAACAAGTTATTTAGGCTGAGTCCTCTAAAGAGTGTAGGAATTACCTAGAAGAAAGAAAAAAAAATGACGATATTCATAGTGGAGGATAAAGCAAGAGTGAGGGCCCGGAAGTGATAAAAATCTTGGTGCATTATCAGAACTGAATGAAGGCTAGTATTGCTGATGAATAATGAATGATGAAAGTAATGGTATGGAAAAGGGATAAAGAAATAAACTTTAAAAAAAGATTATGTAAGACTTGGCTATGGTAAAGGGTTTAAACAGTATTTTAAAATAAATAGAAAGCTATGGATGGTTTTTAAATGAGAGAATGATATCATCAGCCCCATTGTACAGCTGGGAACACTGAGGCAGAAAAAGATGAAGTATCTTGCTCAAGCTAACATAGAAAGTAAGCTGAAGAAATGCTCTGGCTTCAGAGACCATGAATTTAACCACCATTAAACTCATAGATACACAGATACTGAGACCAGTTTGTACCAATGCAAAACTTCAATAAAAAAGAAAATGGGGTCTAATCAGTTATTTGAATTTTCCATTTCATTCCTTTGTAAGGCAGATAAACCACTGAAATTGAATCAGATTCACAGATAAAAATACACTTATTTAAGGAAAAAGACTACTTTTTAAAATTATACCTCACAGATAGCTCTACAAACATTGGATGTTTATATGTATGTTTGTATACCTGTATATGCATGTATACATGTATGCATGTATATGCATGTATACATGTATGCATGTATATGCATGTAAAAAATTAATGCGATAACAGAAATGGTCTTGGAATTTCTAGTTCCAAGTCCAGAATGGAATTTTAATTCCCAGCTTAATCTTCTATTAATTATATAATCTTAGACCATGGACCTAACATTATTATTCCTGACTTTGTAATGAAGATAGTAAAACCTGTCATATTTATATCATGAGACCATTTTGAAAATAAAATAGGACAAGTAAAAGTGCTTAAAAACTATAAAGTACTCAATTAAAATACCAATATTTTTGCTAAATTCTTGACTTCCTTGACTTATTTTCTTAGAAACATGGACATTCTGTTTTCGTTTCCTGGTGGGGACTGCAGTAAAGGATTCTTCCTCATTTCTCTATTGGTGGAAATAGCAGCTGCTTCTGCAATAAAAGTATGTCCATCCACACTGGAAAATTTGCATCTTGATTCACATAAGTAGAGCAATCACTTAGTAACTGAACTATATTATGTGTAAAATAGCTTTGTCCTGACTAAATATAGCATTAGATTATTTAATTGAAGGTAAAGCTATCATCTGGTAGAAACAAATATTTTTGTGAATTGTCTAAAATATAAAGTATAAAAGCCATAAATTTAGACTCAAACTTGAAATCTCTTCAAGAGAGAAATATTTTCAATGCAATTTGGAACTATATCACATACTGACATAAATATAATGGTTTTGACTATTAGTAGTAGAAATAAAAATACATAAAACTCTATAAACTTATCTTTAAATGATAAATGAATAAAGACAAATTGAAGCTTAATTAAATATAAGAAAATTTGTCAAGCAATTAAAGTGTATCCAACCCTAGAAAGAAGTGGAAATCCCAAATTTAAATTAGGGATTAATATTGAGGAAAATTTTATTCTCTGCTACTGTTTAGTGCTAGGAAATCTTAAGTGTTTGTCCTTTTATTTTAAAGGTCATCCCCACTATATACAATGCAGTACAACATCAGGACCAAGAAACTTTGCAAAAAGCACTGCATGTTATTGCTTCTTGTCTGGACGAAGCCCTTAAAGTGTTTCACCAAATTCGTGGCAAGTATTGTATGCCCTACAACATTTTAGGCCTCAGTTAAATGTTTCTGATTATCTGAGATATAGAGTTGTTGACAAAATGGAAGCAAAAATAACTCTTGGGTATGTTTTTACTTTATTTTATCTCACTAAATCTTTATACTTTCCAAGTGGTAGGTTTCATCATGTCCATTTCACAGACAAGGGAATCTAAATTTGGAAAGATAAGATAAATGTTCTAAGTTATATAGATAATAAATATTAAAGACAGAATTCCAAGTGAGATCTGTTTAATGCTAAGAACTATCCTTGCCTCCCACTAAAAATCCTTGGAGAAACTTGCCAAATGAGCAAGCTGTTTTAAGTTCTGAAAGACTTAGCTTCTGCTTGATAGGAGCTCTCTGTGAATTCTTCTTTTTCACAAGTTAACTATAAAAAAACATTGAAAACTACTGAGCTCAAAAGTAATTGCTAAATTACTATCTACAAAACAATAACAATACTTTAAAAAAGTTATTAACATAAACAGGATTTACAAAAGGAAATTTACTCTGTTGGATGGCCTTAACACATATGTGACTGTGTCGTTGGGATTTGAGTTACTGCTGAATAATCCTTGGCAAGAAGATTGGCTGGCCTTCTAATCAAATACATTAACAAGCTTTGGTGTGGGAAGAAAAGGGGGACTTAGCAATGTGAGCTATATGGCCTCTGGAATTTTTGTTTTTGTTTTTCTTTTTGTTTAGATTTTTTTCTTTCTTTATCGAATAATTTATCTGTTATGTTAGTAAGTATGTGAAGTAGCCTTAAATAAATTTGACAGTTTAATTAGTCTGAGGATAGGCGGTAGGTGGGCCCAAACTCTTGGACACAAGCTGTGTGTTGACCCTATGGTAGACTTCATTCAGGAGACACAAGAGATGAACTGACAGAGGGCTCACCTGACAGAGAGCAGGTGAGTGAGAGCTTGTCTTCAGGGGATTTTTCTACACTAACGGACCTAATCTCTTTCCTGCAGCCTCTGCTTTTTTTTTTTTTTATCAATTATTTAGAGTATCTTGATTTCCTCTGATATCTCTGATACTACTTAACTAAACACATCTCATCTTTTTACAGATTATGTGGATCCAAATCTATTTTTCAATGTTCTTCGCATATACTTGTCTGGGTATGTAGTTATATGCTTGAATTTTTCTCTTAAACAATTAACATAAAGAATACATCAAGTTCCCTTTGCTGGTCTCCACTATACATCAGGTTTTAAAACAGTTTATATCCTAAAGTACTTGTTGTAGAAAAAGAATATTCTCTCTGTTATTACTTGGTCGGGCATGCACTGGATTATGCAAAGAAAAGCTAGTCATTTTAAAGAGAGAGGAATGATCTTTACTAATGCAAAGATAAGTTTACTTCATAGAATGCTTAGGCCAAACTTGCTCATAATCATATTATTATGTGGAGTGGAAAAGGGAATGTGGAAGAAGAAGAAGAAAATCTATCTCGTGCTACTTTCCATTCATCCTCTAGTACAAGATTTTCTATATGAAATTTTGCAATTAATCTAAATAAGGAGTATTTTTTTCCTTCTTGGCCCAGCTGGAAAGGCAACCCCCTGCTGCCAGAGGGTCTACTGTATGAAGGCGTCTGGGACACCCCAAAGAAATTTGCTGGGGGTAGTGCAGCCCAAAGCAGCATCTTTCAGTGCTTTGATGTTCTGCTGGGTATCGAGCAGAGTGCTGGTGAAGGTGAGTAGAAAAAGACAAATAATAATCATCTCTTATGTTAATACAATAGTAATATAATGTCTAAAAATGTCTTCTAATTAGCATCTTACATGAGCTTTTCTGATACTTTTCTGAGAATCAGTAAGGTAGAGACTTTATTGACATTGTTCCATTTCACAGAAGAAACAGCAGAAACTAAAAGAGGATGAATGACTGGTTCCCTGTTAACCAGCTAGAATGCAATGAAGCCAGAACTCAAACTTAAGTTCATCACCCTCTTGATCTTGACATTTAGACCTGAATATAAGACCTGATTGACCGTGGTCAAGCCAATATCACATGTTCTTAAAATATACAATCAAATTTAGAAAGTTACCTGCAAATGAGATCAGACTGTGCAGATGAGATAGTAGAAGTTGGAGAGGTGGATACTTCAGACAAGAAGAGAATTGACCCTGATCTTGTTCAGCCATCCTGCTCCCCTAGCAACCCAGGGGCAATGCCTGTATCAAAGGTTAAAGATGAGCCATACTCGTTATGTTCCTCCTGAGGGCTTAGAGAAAGACTTCTTTCTACTTCTCTCTTTTTTCCTAAACTTTTATTTTGTACTGCAAGGGAAAAGCATTGGGCTGGGTGAAAATATGCCTTTTTCTTAGTTTATTCACTTATTTAAAAATAATCCCTTAAACATCTTGGACTCAGTGTCATGATCTTTCAAGTACAGATTATAAATTCCCTGCCTATATCATCAGCTTCTTATAAGGATCAAATGCAGTAGAAAAATGAGAAAGAAAGCACAAGCAAAAATCTTTATTATGAAGGAATGAGTTTAGCTCATCTGTTTTTCAGAATTGAGTATATTTACAATAATTATCATTAGTAGGAACAAGACTAATAGCTTCTAACAGGATGTTTATAACTCATTGCCTCATGCTGCAGTGTTGGCCTGTGATCTTCTACCCACTCTGATCTCACTCTGCCCTTCTCCCCTGGATTGGGGAATACCTCAGTCTTCCTACTAACTCCTCTTTCTTTTTTTTGGTTAGCATCAGCTGCTGAATTCCTCCAAGAAATGAGAACATATATGCCACCAGCTCACCAGAACTTTCTTCGTTCATTAGAGTCAGGCCCCTCAGTTCGTGAGTTTGTCCGTTCAAAAGGTGATGCTAGCCTACAGAAAACTTATAATGAATGTGTGGAAGCCATGGTCCTCCTGAGAAGCTACCATTTGCAAGTAGTAACTGACTACATTGTGACTCCTGCACGTCAGCAGTCTAAGAAAAACCAAAAGTCTGAAGAGCCATCCAAACGGGAAAATAAAGGAACTGGAGGCACTGACATCATGAATTTTCTAAGGAACGTAAGAAGTACAACTGTGAAGGCCTTGATGGTGGAAGATTAATGTAACCCGTGTAAGGGTACATTTTGTCAGGACAGAGATGTCTCTCTATATTAATACTACTCATTATATCAGATGCATAAATTAATATGTAACAACTTCTTAATAGTATATTATTAAAAATTTTTAAATAATTTTTCTGATGTCTATGCATTTCTTATATGAAAACAATAAAACACAATTATATTAGAAGTATTATAACCTACATATTGTAATTAGAATATAATATTGAAATTTAATAAAAATTGATATGATATAATGTCTAAAATTGCTTTATTTGTAACTATAATTAAATATTGATCCAGATGAAACATACTCCACACTGCTACCCTTCAAGCAGAATTAATAGATTCCTGTATTTTCCTTATAGTAGTATCACACTTTTTCATAATTACCTATTTACTTCATGATACCAGAGACACTATTGTTTACCAAACCCATGGATCCCCAGTTCTTAATAGATATTTAACAAATATTTGTTGCATGAATATTTAAAAGCTGAGTGAATTTATGAATAAATTAATCTGGGTTAACAAGAACTCACATTTGAGATATAATTTCTCTTAGCAGGTCAGAATTATCAGGCATTCACACTCTGGTATGAATTTATTTAATAATGGAATCTAAAAAAGTTAGGGCTGAAAAGAAACTTAAAAATCACATAAACCAAACTCATTTTAAAGATGACAGAGTTGAGGCTCAGAAGAATGAAGGAACTTAGTTAGGTCACACAATTAGTTAAAATGGGAGGAGAACTTAAGTCTTTTGACCACTCTAATTTTTTCACTTGACTTAGAGTACATGGTTAGCCAGAAATTGCTACTATAGACGAGAGGAGAGAAAAGACACAATGCTTACATAGGTGCAGGATTAACAGGTGCTTTCAATTGACGAAAGGCCCAGCTCTGAGGAGATGAGTTGAGTACACCTAAGTAAACTTGAGGAAGAAAATGTAGTCACATATTTCTAAAGTCAAACATCTGAAAATTATTTTAACTTTGTTTCTCAAACACGCCCCTAACCCAAGGAATCTTCCTGCTCACAGCAAAATGTCACTTGATTCCATAGAAAATACACCAAATGTCAATGGTAGTAGTTTTTCGGTGATGGGACACATTTTCTTCTTTATTCTCCAATCAATGTTTCTTCAATGAACATATATAAGTTTATAATTTTAAAAAATATGCATGCATATATACATACATACCAAATACATACACGTGTGTGCACATGAGTGTAATTTTTAAGGGATGACTAGAAAGAACACCAGGTACTAGAGTCTGATGCAGTTCAGAAAGCACTAAACTGAAGGTCGGGAGACCAAGATGTGAGCTCCAGTTTGGATATCTATCAGCTTTGTGACCTTAGGCAAACACTTTGTGTTTCTGTCATAATACTTGCTCTGCCTCATTCACAAGGTAACTGTGAGGACTCAAATATAGGGCTGAAGTGTTAGGAAACTATAAAGTACTACTAGAATATAAGTAAAAAATTGCTAAGGATCATTTATTGGCTCCAAGTCAAGATTTTTTTCTGTCCTCTCTGCTACACTGGTCACTCTGGCTCCACAGCTACACATCACAGGGCTACACATCAGGAGTTTCTTCGCCAGAGTTGAGTTTACCTAATTAGTATTGAATCACCTTGAGATGTAGAGCATCTTTGCTCCCCTCAGCAGTGTCCTGAGTCATATCTTCTTCTTTAGAACATCGCATCTATCTGACATGGGGGATAGGTAGGAGAGGGGAGCAAGGGGCAATGTCATGACACAGTAGAAGATGGAGAGACTGAAATCCAGCTTCAAGTTCTCCAGAGAGAGTGTGGACACTTGTTCCTCGCAGCCTATTCTCGTCTATCTGTCCAAATAATAAAAACCAAGATTCCTGATTTTCCTCTAACTCATCTCCAGACTGGGAGAGGTGCAAGAAAATACTAGATATGTTTCTAGAGAAACATATCCTGCTATTTCTTCATCCCCTGCCAGGTGGTCTCTGCTTGTCGCAGTGAGTGCTCCTCTGGGGGGAGAAGAGTTGCCAAAGGGTGAAGGTAATCTCCTACCATAAGAGAATGTTTTAGCTAGATACAATGAATTCTTAATACTATGGATCCTATTTGAATAGAATTAATGATAGTTAATTCCACCTGTGTCCTAGTAAAAGCAGAAGTTTGTAATAGTACATTCCTCCACATGTTGTTTTCCAAAATGAAGAAAATTTAGCTTAAAATATGTATCTTTTTCATATAAAAATTCAGATTAAGTAATCTTTAGTTCCTTTCTTCTATAATTAAATTTTGTACAATAAATGATTGAAGTTCCTTATGTGTAATTTATATCCTATTTTTTCTCACTCTAATATAATAAATAAACTATTACGTGGTGCAGAGAAAATATCATTTAATTTATATGGCTCTGAACTCCTCATACCCTCATCTAAGAGCTAGTGAAGAGAGTCATGCAGTTATTGTTGGTCACCCATGAGCTAAAGATAGAAATTGACTCATTTTCATAGAATTGTTTCACTTGACAATAAACAATTAAAAAGTTAGAAGTTCTGACAGGCTGAAAATTTGGCAAGTAAACATGCACATGATGGTTTCTAAGTTTCTTGCTAACTCAGACACAATGGCCAATAAAATGTAGGGCTCCCTCTTCATTACTTCTAGCAATACAGCAAACTCTTATTAAGAGCTTACTCTACTGATTACTGCTCCAGTTGATCTTCATACATTAACTCATTTAATCTTCAAAGCAACTCTGTGAAATAGGTACTATTATTCTCCTCATTTTATAGATGAAGAAACTGAGATACGAAGAGGTCAAGAAATTTGTTCAAAAAACACAAATAAGAGGCAAAGCCAGGGTATAAACTCAGGTAATCTGGCTCCAAAGATTGAGCTTGTAAATCACTATAGGAAAAAATTTACTCAGCTTCTGTGGAAATGCTTCTAGGGAAAAAGAACTCATTAACACAAGAAAAGCTTGACTCACTTTCGTATGGGTACTCTTCTAGTCATTTGAGATTTAAAAATTAATAAAATGCATTTACTACTCCTAATCAGCTTATAGCCTAACAGACAAAACACTATATTGTATTTCCATTGGTTTATTATCTTTCAAATTGTTAGATTAAGAAGAAAAATAATGTTACTAGACTGATTGGGGGGATCATTTCATAAATTATGTGAACATCTAACCACTGTGGTATACAACTGAAACTAATATAAAATAATATTGAATGTCAACTGTAATTGAGAAAAAATTTTTTAAAAATAAAGTGTTACAGAGGCACAGAATAGCAGATTTATTCTACTTGGAAGGATTGAGGAAAGTTGCTTACAAGGGGTAACATTAGATGCTTGCATTTAAAGTTTAATTAATTGTTACAGTTTAATTTTAAAAATTTCTCCTGGATTTTCAGCATTAAATAAACAAGCAAACATAATAGTTTGCTTGTCAACCTGCCCTTATACAATTAAAGACATAAACATAAACAATATGAATTCTTCAAGTGAATGCCAGAATTATCTAATATAAGGAATCTTCTCATAAAGCAATTTTTTAATCTATAAATGAATGACAGTTAATAATTACTTAATTTTTCTATATACCTCTTACTATTCTAAATGTTTCACATATATAAATCTACTTAACCATTTCAACGAGCTGATGAGATAAGTGCTGGCTAATTTTAAGGAAACTGAAACCTGATGGAGTTCAGTAACTTTTAAAAATCACAATGCTAGTATATGGCAAAGTAAAAAATTAAACCCTAACGATTTGACTCAGGAATATTTCAAACCATTACACAGTACAACCTCCCCTGAAAGAAAAAATTTTCCTGCTTTTTTGACCTTAACCATCAAAGTATTAAACATGTGCTCCTCCCCAAATTCCCAACTCAGGAATGACTTTTTATTATGTTTTAGCAAGAAGAAAGGTGAAAGTGGGTTGATAAGAAGACCTATATTCGTTCTCATTATTGCTATGTGGGGCACCAGCCCAAGCTTTTCAAAATCGGAGCTCAGAAGCATGTCCTTGACCCGGAAGGTGTCCTGGAGACCTTTTGGTGGGTGCGTTTTTGCCCTAAGAGCTGCAGCCACGGCAGCTGTGGCTAATGAGAGTTGAGACTGATGAGAACAGAGCTGGTGCTTGGAATATAGTATCTAGCATGGAAGAGAAAATGGAAAATTTGAAATTGGAAATCTGCTTGGTAAAGATCATTTGCTGATGTGTACAGAGCTGAGTCTTCTCACTGTGGTTTGGAAGTTGCAGTCAAAATAAGAAAGAGATAACAAAGTTGGAATGATACAGAACATCCAATATGAGGTGAAAATACATTAGCAATTGGAATATTCTTCTACTCTGGAGCTTTATAACTATTTTGAAGATTACAGTTAAGTGTAGCTAGTATTAGAAATGTACCATAATAGATAAAAGAAAAGATAGTAAACAGAATGAAAGCCTTCTCAAAAAGCAAAACTTAAAATTTCATGCACCAGGTCATTACAAAAATGTTGTATCATTATTTTCATGATATATATTATACCAGGAGCTCACTTCTTACTCATGTATAATGCGAACATCGAGACTGCCAATTTAAGCTAGCAATTCAATCAAAAATGCAATATAAAAAAGCATTATACTATATGTGGAACTCTTAATTACATTTCTACCAGGAACTGCAACTCAAAGTACACACAAACTTGGATAATATTTGGTCTATGGGCTGTATGCTTTATACATTACTTATTGGGAGCCACTTTTTGACATTGGCATAGTCAAAAACACATTAAATAAAATGGTGTTGGCAAATTATTAAATGCTAACCTTTTTTTTTTTTTTTAGAATAAAGCAAAAAATGTGGAGCCACCATTGGCATATCAGAAGTACAGTGTGAACCATTACATATCCTTTAACTGTCCACAGGTTAAAATCAATCAGACTAAAAACCAAAAAGACAGTGGTGAACATACTTTATTCAGAGTAAGTGTGTGTGGAGTAGCTAAAGGAGTTGTTCACATATCTAGTGATAGGAATATGATTACTATTTATTATCCAAATGACGGAAAAGATTTTCTCTTTTTGATAGAATGTGCTCACATCTAATGGCAGTAGGTACAGACCTGACAATTTACAAGAAAAGTATTAGAGGAAATAGATTTGTTTAGCTTGTAAGATCTAAGTCTCTAAAAAACATCTATTTTTACAAGGCACCATAAATGCATTTTGATGGAAAATTACCCTGGTGTTGATTTTGAGATCTTATTTTATTATGGGGCAAAAGTACCCAAAAGAGAAGATTTAAGGTAGGTGGCTGAAAAACAGAAATTTTACACACTGATAGAAGAAAGTAAAGTCAATAGCTTGAAAAAAGACACAAATATGTGTGGTCCATGCTAACATGAGTTATTACATTTAGCACTGGAATCCATAATTTAAAAAGAGGAAATTAAAACTTATGTCTACACAAAAACCCATGTTGGATGTTTATTGCAACTTTATTTATAATTGTCAAAACTTGGTACCAATTAATAGTCCCTTCAGTAGGTGAATGAGTAAACTTAGGTACATCCTGACAATGGAATATTATTCAGTGTTAAAAAAAAGGTGAGGAATCAAACCATAATAAGACATGTAGTCACCTAACATGCATATTAGTAAATGAAAGAAGTAAATTTGAAAAGGCTACATGCTATATAATTCCAACTATACGACATTCTGGAAAAGGGAAAACCAGGGAGACAGTAAAAGGATCAGTGATTGCCAGGGGTTAGGGGAGAGGGAGCAATGAATAGGTGAAGCACAGAGTATTTTTAGGGCAGTGAAACTGTTCTGTACGACACTATAATGGTGGATACACATCATTATACATTTGCCAAAATCCATAGAATGTATAACACCTGGAGTAAAATCTCAAGTGAATTATGGACATTGTATGATAAGGATATGTCCACGTAGGTACATTGATTGTCACAAGAGCACCACTCTGGCTCTGGAAGCTGCGCTTGTGTGGGATCCGGGCCAAAGTGCACCAAGCTGGGAGATTTATGGGAACTCTCTGTACTTTCTGCCTAATTTTGCTGTGAGCCTAAAACTGTTCCAGAAAAAATAGTCTATTAAAAAGAAAACTGCTATATAACCTCGGATAATTCCATTAACCTCTCTTGTCTGTTTTTGCACATCTAAAATGATCAGAGATAAATAGTTCATTTTTAAGGTGCCTCCCAACTCTATGATTCAGTCATATATATGATATGCAAAGTTATCCACAAAAAAGTCAGCTGATAGGCTAGATTAATCGAATGGAAATTTTAAACAACAAAATTCAACATGTATTTAAAATAGAATAGCTTTTATATTACTTTCAGATCATAAAGATGAAGATTTTGATGTAATAACTATTTTTATATATTTATATATTTTACAAGCTTTAAAGCATTTTCACTCAATGGCATTGTTTCCTATCTACGACCTTGTCAGTAACTCAAACAGGAACTATCTTTCTTATTTTGTGGTGATTTTCAAAAGTATCAGAGGGAGGGTCATTGAAAAGTAGGCAATACCAGAATAACCTGTATTGAAGAGAGTGTATTTTGAAGAATATACATGCAAAAACTTCTATTTCTCCAAGGATAGTCAAATCCTCTCGGCCCCTGGAAAGAACTCCAATGATCATGCTGAGATAACCCCTTCCCACCTATTTCTATTTGAAAACCACTACTTTAGGCTATTGCCCAAACATAACTGAGGGATAAACTTATAGGGAATACTCTCTCAACTCTGTTCCCATAGATTTATTATACTCTTTTAGTATAATTACTTTTGCTCTTATGTAGTGATCATGGCTCTGTGTGTGTGTGTGTGTGTGTGTCTTATTCCACTGGCTAATTTTTCAGTTCTCTATAGATAAGATTCATGGCTTTTTCATTTTTACATCCTAGTACTTAACAATGTGTTTAAAATGTTGGCTATTAAAAGAATATATAAATACTGACTCAGAAAATTGTTTCATTAATGAGCTTAGACTTAATCATATAAGCATCAGAATCTCTACCCTAATTACACATTAATTCAGTAGCCAAACTATGCAATTTCCTTAGTTAGATAAAAGAGTTAGAATTGTTAAAGGCACCAACCCTATCTTCAAGGAGCTCACTATTGGGCAATTAGAGAAAGAGATTATTTCAATACAATGAAATATAAACAGAGAGTATAGAAGCAAAGAGCAGTAGTCCCTAACCCAGACTAGAGGGCAGCAGAGGGAGAATGAGGCTTTGCCTGGACAAAATAGGGAAGGAAAGGCTGGTACTAGAAAGGGATGTGGTAATAACAGACAAATAATAGGTAATAACTAGAGAAGCTTTAAAGGGTGATTAGTATATATGCAAAGGGAAGAAAGTTTAGAAAATTCCAGGGGAAAAGAAGGGTGTGCAAAAAAATGGCGGCATAAGCATTATCTATTTGAGGTAGTACAACTGAAGCATGAAAGAATTAAGAGTGATAGGTCATTGAAGCTAAATCATGCATTGAAGTGATTCTAAATTACCTTGAAAACAAAGGGAAAGATTTTAAGCAGAGAAATGACTTTATTATATTTGCATATTCAAATAATATAGAAATGAAAAGCTGTCCATTGTAAATAAATATTTAAATGACTCTGGCAGTAGTTAGAAAAATTACAGAAGCAGGATAAAACGGGGAGTAATAATAAAGAGGGAGATGAGTTCGAAGGTTGTAAAAATAATTCATGTCTAAAATGATTGCCAGTTTTTATGGGTTTGGATTTGAGACAGAGAGATGAATTAGGGATTTATTGTGACATAATATTCCAATAGTAAATGTAAAAGATTGAAAACAATGCCACTGGGATTGGAGATAAAGGGAAACAAGAGAAATACAAAGGCAGTAGGACTGGCAAGCTTGGTGTTCTGTTGGCTGTAATGGAGAGATGACTTCCAGAAATCTAATTGATCAACTGTGGCAACAGAGGTACTAGGGCCGGTTTCATGGGCATTCAACCTGTGCAGTCACATAAGGTCTTGCATGCAGAAGGGCCTCCTCATATTTGGCTTAATGCTCTACTGTCAGTGTCTTGAAATAATAATTTTAAGCAAGGGTACTTATATTTTCATTCTTCACTAGACCCCTCAAATTATATTGCCAGTTCTGAGAGATATTATTCACCAAGACATGGAATAGATAAGGAAAATGAGTTTTGTTCTCATTATGAGGAAACAAGTGATAAGTGCAGATTGGACCTGTTACTAGGCGGTGGACTCTCTACTAAAGACTTTGGGCTAGTTGCTGGAGGTTTTATAAGCCTTTGCTTCTATCTTAATGGAAAGTATCTAGTATATGTTTGATGTGATAAGATATTTCATATGAAGCCTCTATAAAACGGTCAAGTGAAGATGATAAGAGAGATTCAAGTAGAAACAATGTTAGAGATCATCAGTCTAGAGAAAATAGCTGACACCTTGGAATATATGAGATCATCTGGAGACAGGGAACAAAGTGAAAAGAAAGGGAAGTCAGGACTTGAACTGTGAGATCATCAACAGTAAACTGTAATCAGAACAATGGGAGATAATTACCAAAAAAGTAAAGTCATGCCTCTAGTGAGTAAGAGCGATGAGTTTAAAGTCAGATTGTGCTCCAGTCCTGACCACTTAAAATATACGACCTTAGAGTTTTACTTAACTTTTCCAAGCTGCAGTTTCCTCAGCTGAATGACGGGAATAATAATAGTACTTAACTCACAGGGCTACTGAGAGGGTTAAATGAGATACATCATGGAAGATGCTTACTGTGGAACTTAGCACAGAAGAAAAATCAGTGAGTTTTTTTTATTATTATTATTAAGTACAATCAAACAAGAAGGAATAGATGTCATAGGAGAAGCCAAGAGGAAAAAAGAGGGTAAAAAAAAAAAAAGAAGTAGGCCAACCACCAGATGCCTGAATAGTTAATCAAGAAAAGGAATAGGAAGTCCCATTGAATTTATGAACAAAGAAGTAATTAATGAGCTGTACAATAATAGTCTCAGTATACAAGCACTGTTTGTGCTGATTGCTTTTGATAATTCAGATTTGGGACTTCATCAATTTGAAACTAAAACACTACATTTAATACTGTCACCAGTAAACACAAAAACGGTTGTTAAAAATTTCGATTGTGATGTTTTTCTTCCTTTTCTAAATTTTCTTTGCTCCGTTTCCAAAAGCCCCTAATGCCCAGTCTAAGAGAAATGAAACCCTTGCTGTGATACTGCTGTGGTTCATGGGAAAGCTAATGATAGAAACCAGAATTTTCAAACTCCAAGCCCCACTGTAAAAAGAGAAAGTTTATGGGCACAATTATGTTTAACAAACCTCCTCTTGGTAAAGAAGATACAAAGCAGAGCTTCATGGAGAGTGCGGCCACTATGTTCCTTACTGCAGGGATGGGGTCTAAAGTAGAGCACAGAGACTAGCACAAACTTCTCTGTCATTAAGACTCCAGTTCTAAATTATAGGGTCCACGATAAGACTCTCACAGGTTATTCATTTAACAAACATTTACTGAGCTTCAGATACTGAACTTACCACTAAAAAAAAAAAAGACAAAGTTGGGTTAGATATGGATTCTTCAAGGAGCTTACAATCCAACAGACAAGGCAAGACAAATATATTAATAATAATCAAACCCGTTAGAACTGGAAATGTGATGTGAAAGAGGTCCAAGGTTATTGTAGAATTTTGCACAGCTAAAAAGGTGCTTGATGGCCAGGTGATGAACATCCTTGAATGCCAGGCCAAGGAAATTTGAACTTTATTTAATTTATAGTGAGGACCTCTTGAAAGGTAGGACCTGCGATGTACACTAACCCACAAGTACCATGGATCTAAACCTTGGGAACAAGAAAAGTCAAAACTAAATATGCCGACTTGGGAATCTGGGCATAGAATTGATGGATAGAATCAGATGAAAATACATAAGAACGC